TATAATAAACAGGTATGTTTCAGGTTGAAAGTTACTGTTCCTTTTTTCATCATTTTTTTTCGGGTTAAAGTCAGTAGATATAAACCAGGTGTACTTGGTGAGCAGTTATTCTCCAAAAGCTGACCAACAGACAAACCCATTTATGAAAAAGGAAATACCAGAAGTACAGCACCATGACAGCAGCAGAAAGCAACTCACTGGAAATGGCAGATGGTCAGAACACTAGTAGATATGGTTAATATTTAGTCATTCTCTATAGTATCTGTCCCAGTGCAGGGAGAAGCTGGAGAATACCCTTGAGTACTCTCATGAACTGTGGTTAGTTTAACAGAGCTGCCTGAGACAAGCTCAAAAATAGGACAAGTATCTCACCTTTATATACCCTTAAAAGGACCATATAGTACTCCTCTGACAGGCAGTGTTGTGAGGAAAGAAAATTCCAAAGGGGCCAATAAATGTGAATAGAGCTGTATTATTTCTAAGGAAAAAAAAAAAATACAGAGCTGTGCTTTATGAAATAAGAATGTTCACTGATGGTTTGCAATTAGAGAACATTTTCTATATTTTGCCATAATTTTCTTTATTAAAGGTTCAAAAGTCATTTGAGCAACGGTACCACAGAGACAGTGATTTGCCATAACATTTAAAGTATGACTTTGGAGCATTCAATCTCTTTTTCATCTTTGTTTATCTGAATTTGCCACACTGAAATTTAATTAAACCATTGGTTTATCAGAAGTGCATAATTCTTTACTCTAGATCTGTGCAGATCTAAGCTATAAACCAGGAAAGCAGTAAAAAGTTGCATTTTTAAATATTTTAGAGAAGACTGCTGTTCTGTGGAACTTTATGTGGGTTTTTTTTCTGGGGCTATTAAGTGCTTTGCAGAAGTTCATTTGGGAACTGTATTCTTTGATTTTGGTGATCAATTGATCAACATTTGAAGCTTTGCTCACAGTTATTGTGAAGAGCAGCACTTTCAAATATCCATTTGATTGTGTTTGTGATGCTTGCATTATTCAACTGTGATCCAGGAAAATTAAAATGTACCGAACAAGTATAGGAAGGTTAGCATTCACAGTTTAGGGATAAAACATTTTGACAGTTCTATTCTACATTTGCATGTAACACTTTTGGATGACAGTCCTGGTCAGAAACTTTGTGATTGCCTAAGCAGCCTTTTTTTCCAAACAGATTTGCCTATCCCACATGCCCTTGGTCACCATGCTTGTAGCAAGTGTGGGTAAAGCCCTTCCCAAATCTTCTCTAGTAAAGCCAAGCCATCACTCAATATTTATTGTAGGATCTCTTGTAGGCATTACTACTGTGAGATTGTCATCTTTCAGGATTTGTTCTGAACTGCTTGTCTGTGAGGAAGCACCAAAGCCTACTGCTTCCACATACATGTCATTTCTGGTCCACAGTATCTCATTTTCTTTAATTTGTCATGGGCTCCACCTGTACAACTACCACTGAGTTATTTGTGTTTCTTTCTGAGATTTTTTAATGTGCAGGGTTAGAGAGGTGCACATGCAGAGTTCTCTCCTACATACTTGGTATAATTTTCCACTTGTCTCCAAACACTCAATTTTTGGTGCACAATAGGATCCCTGAGGAGACAAAGACAGACACTGTCTGGAGAGAGACAAGCAATATTGCCAAGATATCCATTATCTTTTTTAGCTGGTGGACAGGTGATGCTTAAACACAGAATATGTACAGACAATGGTCAACATTCAGAGCTCATGAGACTGATCACTGATACAAGCTGATTTCTGAAGGACTGGTCACTAAAACTGCCCATATTATTTGCTCCACTTTTATCATTCATCTTTCTGTATAAATAATGCTCAGGAGGGATTTTAGTAACCTGATATAACATCTGCAACATTACTGTTACCAAGAAAACATTCATTGAGATAGATACTAAGGCAAATGTACATTGTCTCAGAAGACTTGTGTGTAAATTACACCAAGTGATTAAAAAAAAAAAAAGTAAAAAACAATCTCCAAAAACTACCAAAAAAAAAAAAAAAGCAGCTAGATACTTCACACTCTTTTCAGAAGAGCAGAGAAAAGCAAGAAGACAGGCTGAGAAAGTTGGGGCTGTTCAGGCTGGAGAAGAGAAGGCTGTGTAGAGACCTCATAGCAGCCTTCCAGTATCTGAAAAGGGCCTACAAGGATTCTGGAGAGGGTCTCTTCATCAGTGACTGTACTGATAGGACAAGGGGTGATGGGTTTAAACTTAAACAGGGGAAATTCAGGTTAGGTGTAAGAAAGAAGTTCTTTACTGTGAGGGTGGTGAGGCACAGGAACAGGTTGCCCAGAGAAGTGGTAAGTGCTCCATGCTTGGCAGTGCTCAAGGCCAGGCTGGGCAGAGCATTGGGCGACATGGTCTAGTATGAATTGTCTCTGCCCATGGCAGGGGGTTGGAACTTGATGATCTTAAGGTCCTTTACAGCCCTAACCTTACTATGATTCTAAGAAAATATTGTAGGTTTTACCAGGAAAATTTATCTGAGCTGAAGTAGCGTCTTCTCCCTGACAGTTTAGTCAGTCCCTAGAGACTTTGAGGAATTTGATCCAATTATCATTAGATTTACCTTGAGAAGGATATGGACTTAGGTGGTGCCAAAAATCTGGTGCAGAAAATTCTCCAGGCACTCCTTCCTGCATTACTCTGGCTCCAAAGTCCCAGAAACTCAAACACTCTTGATAGCCTGCTGTGTACTGCTCTTTTCCATACTTTCCTTCATTGCTGGGAGTTGTTTCTTTTGACTCAGCAATAAATAGCAGAGAAATAAAATAATCTGGGAATTCAGGTATATGTGAAATTTATATCCTTTGTAAAGATGACCACAAGTAAAGCCTCTCTGTGCACCCAGATTGGATCTTGCATTGAAAATCATCAGAATCTGAATTATACAGAGGTTATGCAGCACTATGGGTAAGTACATTGGCCTTTCATGTCTTATTATGTTGTTAATTAGTTAATGTTTGTAAAGCACTTTGAAGATGAAAAGCCCTATATAAGTTCGAAGTGTTATTATCTCAAGAGACCTGGGTTCAATTCAAAGGTGCTTAATTGCATATGCCATAAATTAGACTTAATGAGTTGTGGAATCATATGATTTATGTGATGTATGCAGGTTTCTCAGCTAGGTCTAAGCCTCATGGTCTGCTGCAGTACTTCTTTAGGTATTCAAAGTTGTTAAGAAAAGTTACACAAAAATAGAGAAGATAATTTCTAAAAATAATTGGATTGTATGTCAGTACTATTTAGGACTTGGGAGAGCAAATTACCATGAGCTTTGTTCTGCTGTATCTAGGGATTTTACAGTAACCAACTTCAAAATGCTGGAGGCAACATTATTGTTTTCAAATTCTGGTATAGGTATAATTCTAATTCTCACTTCTGTCTTTTGGCTTAGCAGATAGGTGCTGAGCAGATAGGATTAGTGTGACTGCTGTCCTCCCAGTAATGCCCTGAAACATCCCATCAAGGCTATGGACCTCTTCGTGTTGGGTTATGCTCAGAAGCATAAGAAAATCTCTATTCTCTAGAGTCCATATCTAGATATATTATTATCTCTAGATACACTATATCTCTAGTTCCCACCTCTAGAGATACTATTATAACATTTACAGCTGGCCATTACAAGTCGGTAACGTGTAAAAAGGGGAAGCAGCAGTTACAGGAAAATGTGGTTTCATTGGCTTTGCAGACCTGGGAGTTTCCATGTTATGTAACTTATCTATTTTGTGGCCAGAAAGATATAGGATTTGCCCGGCTTCAGCCCAAGCACCGGGGCTACTGTCTGGCAGTGAGAGCACACAGCTTCTCCAGGTTGTTACTTAGCCAGCAGAACTCAGAGACACAGAAGAACTGCAGGATTCTTCACCTGTCCTAAAGTACCTTCATATGTTCCTGCAGCAGAATATCTTCATTTTACCTTGTGCCTTTGCAGGCATATTGGGAGCAGCAGAATTTAACCTGCATATGTTAGAAGTGATTGTGTCCATTAGTACAACCTAAGTAGATTGGAAAAACTAATTAATAGCAATTTACTATAAGTGTCTCTAACAGACTTCCTTGAAGTATTTATCCTGAAGTGAAAGTCATTTGATTTAGTTAATGTTCATTGTAAGCATATCCAGACCATCTTCCAGGGGAAAATGTATTTTTGAGTACTCCAGACAATTGAAACTGGTGAGCCCACTGTCTGGAGAAAGCATCTGTAACCGCAGCCAAAAGAGGAACAAGATTTCTGACATTCTTTCAAGACATGTGTTTCAAGAATGGGTTCCCATCACTTTCAGAGTGACTTGCAGACCATTTTCTTTATATAGATTTAGACGAGTCAGTGTGGGCCTGGATTCATCTTGATAAACACCTTTGTGTTTTCTCCTCATCCTTTTTCTCCTGTATTATTGCTTATTTCAATTAAGAATATGTTGTCAAGAAACTCCGAATGGGACAAAGCATAGTTTTGGACTGCTTTTATCACTTGTATTTCTCTAGTCTTACATGTTGATTACTAGGGTGCATCTCCTTCAAAAACAACATACAGTTTTGCTGAATATACTTCATATACTTTAATAAACAGGAACTTCACATGAATGCTGATTTTAGCTCCAGGCTGTGGTTACATGTTTTAGTAGTGTAGCAAACTTATCAACAAAACTTTCCTTCCCCACCCTACACCCTTCCCTTTTTACAATGAACAGATTTTTATCTGACTGGCTTGTGACTTGGGTATTTTTATAGCAGGTTTGGGAACTTGTCAAATATTTGGAAAATTGAGACTGAAAACAAACCAAAAGCTTTAAAAAATGGTATTTTATACAGTATGTATCAACTAGATAAGATTCTGACTTGCTGAAGTACATAGGGGATTCTACTGTCAGACCTACCTGTCATTACTTCAATAGAAGTTATCAGTCTGATTCCTTTATTTTTAATACTCCAAGGCACTAACTCCACTGAGGTGCCAAATCAACAGAGCTTTCAGACCCTCTCATCATCTCTGAACTGCTATAACCTCTTGTCAAAAGGCAATACGAATATTCATATTGCTATTAACTCATCTGAGCATTTCAAGTCTGTCTCTTTTCCTCCTGTTTCCAAGATGTTACTGACTGGCATACTCTAGCAGTGATATCGCTATTACATAAACATCAGTGAGCAAGAAAATGAGATAGGTGTAAGCTCTAGTGGCTGCGCTGAACTGCCTATTACAGAGACATTAGGGAGGAGCAACAACTGTACAGCACAGTGCAAGCGTTTTTTTGCAGCCAGGCCTCCAACTCTCACCAAGTGTGCTAATGGCTGTGAAGGGTGCTCTTTGAGAAAAAAACACGGGTTACAAGAAGTATTAAATGTGTGTGCAGAAACATCTTGGTGAGTTAATATCCAGTAAAGAATGCTGGACACTTAGTGATTGTGTTTGGTGACCCAGTTAGGAGTTTTACAAAAGCAGTCACCATCCTTTTGAGTTGTGACTTCCCCAGTCATTTTCCTTTTTTAAGTCCCTAATTTAACAAAACACTTATCTGTCTCTCCCTGAAAATTTTTGACTGTGGAAACACAGCTCATGAGGTCTGGAAGACTTCTGGATCATGCCTTCAGCTTCCTTTCCTTGTCTGCAAGTGAGGGGTTATCACAGGTCAGCTGCAGAATAGAAAACATGGCAGTAAATTGTGGGGTAAGTCCAGATTTTACACTGATGTGTCTGATTTTTATACCAGAGTGGATGAAGAACATCTATCCCTTCTGACAGAACATGGTGCAGATAATGTGAATCATCCTAAACTCATTGATACCTGTTTATTTCAGTGAACATGTGGACCTCTGGATTTTGTTTCAGCAGACCTGAAAAGTTTACTGATGATCTGATGCATGATTATATAATTTCATTCTCTCTACAGTCAAGATGTGGTGCAGAGAGGAAGACAAAAAGAAAAAAAAAAAAAAAAGATAAAAATGTCGGTTTGTTCACTGAACTGTTGGTTTTAGCAGAGGAAGGGTGAGAAGCATAAAGAGCCTTCAAAATTACTTGTGTCTCTGGTGTGATGCGGTTTAAATTTTAAGCACATGTAAAGCTTTTTAAAAATCATACTAATCAACATATGTTGTTCAGTGTTACTGCAATACCTATTAGAGTGCTGGGAGGAACAGCCTAATGTTAACAGATTGAGAATTATGTTCATAGATACTCAGTTCTAGCAGCAATGTTATGACACCAAGCATTTTAGTCTCATGCACATACCTACATATTCCTTCTGCAAGAAGCATTGTCCTCTGTGGCTGGACAAAAGCATGTCTCAATTTAACTCTCAGTTCAATAAAATGTATATTCTGAATGTTACTTAAGTTTAGACATGTCAGGAAGCCCACTATGTTTGATGACTTAGGCTAATGAGCCTGGAGTTAACAGGCTGAAATGTTATTCTGAACCAGGGTTTGATTTGACAGTATGTAACCAAGTACATGTGCAAACTAACATCTCTTTTAAAGTTTCCTCGGGAAATAGGCAATGAAAATATTTAATAAGCATTCATAAGGAAATCTGCTTTATTATGACTAAGTCTTTACAGTTAAGCCTAAACTTAGTTCTGCATTAGTTGTTGATTGAAATTTTGGCTGAAGTAGGCACACAGTCCATGACTGTGCATCAGTGAAGAGATTTAATAATTCAGGTGGTCAAGTCATACTGTTGCTGACAAAAGATATCAGAAAGCTTTTAGGCTTAAAAATGAACAACTCCATAAGGCCAGAGTTTGTCATGGAAACATCATCACAACAACTAATTGGTGTTATTCGTTCACCCCATTAGGCTAATTATTTATAATTGTTATTATTGTAGCATATGTCCAGCACTTAAACAGTGTATATGAGTGAGAAGAGCTGGAGTATTCCTCAGGAGAAAGTGAGAAATTGAGTTGAAAATGCCAGATCAGTCAGGCAGATGGAATTCTTTTTCTCTCACTTCCTCATGCATGCAAACAAGGAAGCAAACAACCACTATCTCCCAGTTTCACAAGAAAAGAGTAAGAAGTCAGAAATACCATAACCACTGAAAGGCAGCTTGAATATAGAAACACTCCTCAAGAGTGCATTCAGTTTCTCTGATACTGAGTGGTACTTCTGACCCACTGAGACACACCCGCATCACTAAGAAAGGTAGAAACAGCCCTTTGGTCAACAATGAGCAAAGATCAAATCCACAGAGAATTTTAACCACTGTATTTCAACTTCCTTCTAGTAGGAAAAAAAAAAAAAAAGGTAAATTAAAAAACCCAAGATATATACAGAAAATCTGTCACTGTTGGGTTTGGGTTGTTTCATTTTGTTTTGATTTTTACAGAAACTCCAAATCCCGCAGAGTTGTTTCAGATTAAGAGGAAGAAAAGGATGGGACTCTTGTCTAAATGCCATGTAAATGGTTTTGTCTCCTTCCATTAAAATAGACATAATTAACGAGGGATCTGATTTTAAATTGTTCTTAAAACCAGATCACATCAGCTGCATATTTTCGTTTATGATTTGCCTTGCACTGATAATGCGATACATGCTAATGTGATTTAAGAGTCAGAACTGAAATATATTCAAAACCTGCAATTGTTTCATCTAGATTCCTGAGAGGAACCAGAGGTCCCTTGAAACATTGTTCAGAATTACCCATGGTTATGCAAAAATGCCATCTTGGTTTTTTGTATTAATATGCTTACATTGGGCCTTGTAATATCCTTTAAAAAAAAAAAAAAAAAAAAGGATGTAATACCCATCTGCATGCACTTAAGATCAGTGTGCTAAAATGTAATGCTTGAGATCATGATGAAAGCTACAATCATTTGCCCTCACGGTACAAAACTGAACAAAATTAAGGGTTCAGAATGAACTGTTGTAAATCAAGGCTTCAGAATCTCTCTTAATCTACTTTTTGTTCAGTATCTTTTATTACAAGAAGAGTCACTTAGATAAAGATATTTGGGAGCAAACAATAATAAAGAATGTTCATATGATGATGATGATGAAGCAGCATTATTGTCTTTCCAGTGCCACTACAGTGAGAGTTTCCATTTGCATCAATTTTTTAAAATCAGGGGGGCTGGGTCTTGTTTAACAAAGATCCCAAACAGGGAAGTTAAGCCTATTAGCCTGAATGTGACAGCTAATATGCTGATGTTAAGAATGCGCTTAAAGTCAAGAGCTCCTGGACAGGCATTTTGTCTCATTAAAGTAGAAATAAATGTCAAGAGTGAAGAAGATAAAATTGTAATATAAAATGTATTAATATAATCAAGCATACTGAATATATTGCCTCTCTTATTTGTTAGTAAAAGGGGTGGTATGTATTTCTGTAATGGATAAAAAGATTACCTATAAGAAAACATTCTGTTCTCTGACTTACACTGAAAGCATTTTATATGAAACAGAAAGTTGCTCATTCATTGTTTTAATACCTAAGATCAGTGTTCATTAAATAGCAACTCATGTAGTCCTACAGTCTGACATTGTAAGTCCAAGCAACTTGCAAGAAATAATGGAAAATGCATTTTAAAGGCTGCGGAAAGGTAACAGCCTGGAAGTATGATTAAACAAAATTGTGTCTCTTAAGATGTTTCATTAAAAAAACAAGCTTAATGTAAAATAAAATAGATTAAGAGATTGCTGATGTCCCCACAACAGTAGTAGTCTGAGTGCACATTGTATATGCTTGATTAAGTGATTCTGATACCTTGATTTGGTTTGGCAACTGAAAACCTTGTCTTACTATAAGTCATTTTTACCACCTGGATTTGCATATACTTACGGTATCTGTTATATTAATTATATCTATTTTCACAGGTATAGACAGACATACCCCAGACTTGTGGCACCCATTAATAGATCAGGCAAGCCTGTGCAGCTGTGTTTTGATCAGTTGAAAGGTTTCCTGGCGTCTGAGAACCAGAATCACCTTTTGGATGTGACAAGTGCATCTGAGTATCTAGCAAGTGAAAATCAAGGGTTTCTGTAAGGAAGGAGTAAGAACACCTACCACAAAAAATTAAAAGTAAAATAACCTTTAATAATTGCAACAATGCAAACTCAATTGTATGCAATGCTCTCTCAGTTGGCATTTAGCCATCCATCATTTGCTAGCTCATAAAGCTGATTTGTACTCACCCCTCCTACCCGTTTCCTGGAGCTGTTGGCCGCTCTTCACCACTCCTTTCCCATAGGCACAGATGAGTGAGACCCAAACACTCTTTTGTCTCTTCCTGTGGAACTCTATTTTTTATCGCATGCATAAGAGGGGAGTCTTGTGAGCAGCTTGTTTTCTTCTTCATTGTTGAATGCCACTTACAAACTGTTGATAGACACTTGGAAGGTAACTGAAATGCCAGACAGGGAAACAGGTATAATTCAGAGGAAAATTGACCTTCACTGAATAGGGTCAAAATGCTTCAACCACCTCTTTCATTTGAAACTCCTCATTTACAGACTCTCACTTTTTTCATTGTAGCTTAGGGTTGACATAAATATATGTGGGATCTGTGTTAGTCTTAAAGATAAGTTCAGATAGACTTAATGAGTACTGTGACTAATCAAATTCTGAAAAGAACACACACCAATTTCTCTCTTCAAATTGTTGCAACACCAAAATTGTTGAGAGCACAAAAATTTCTTTTCAAAAATCCAGTTTGGGTATTAACAACTAGCAGATGGGTTAAAGCTCCAACTTCGTAATTCCCAGTTCTAATTGTTAAATATGTTAAATATTGTCTATATGTTAAATAAGCTCCTGAGGAGGCAGAAAAAAAATATTAACCTCTAAATTATGTGTCTAAGAATTTGAGTTTTCATATTGGGGTTTAGAAATTTAAGGCCATTCTTAGATATGTTTAAAGGCTGTAAACCACCAAAGGCTTTTGGACAAAATTCTCATGGTCCTTTCCAGACCTGGTCAGTACAGATACTTGACCTTTTCTGGTGCTGTCTGTTATCCAGGCTATTTTTGTTGAGAAGGCTAAGAATGGAGATTTAACAAAACGTTTAATGAAGTTTTACATAGACTGTGTCTGAAGCATTTATTTGCTATATTATGCACGTCTTTAAACCTAATGTTGTTTATTGTTATGGAAACCCATGCTTTTTGACCCATAAAAAGTGGCAGCAACCAGCGTTTGTAGCTTTTGAGTACTTATCAGTACTTCTGTTCAATACTATAACTTTAAACAGCATCACTGTTCAATACTATAGACAAAGGAAGCACAGGCCCGGCTTCCCTTCTCACCACTAAGAATGATTTCTATCACACCAGCAGTAAACAAGGACCTGCAAAAGGTGTAGATGTAATTAGAGGATTTTAATGTCCTTTTACACTGTTGGAGTAGTAGAGAGGAAGCCCTTAGCCCTTCTGTTTCTTTGCTGGGAAGTGCTTCAGCTAGGACCGATACAGACTGGGAACAGGGTTTCGTCCTCTCAGGTTCCTGAACTGCTGAAGAACAGCTACACCAACACACTCAGCACAGACATGCTTCTTCACATTTATCTTAGGTTAGTACATTCCTTTATTTAACTGTCTCTGATCTGACTATATCTAATCATTCCTTCACCTCATTTTCACTTAACCTTTTGCCCTCTACACAGACTAAGCATCCTACTGGATATCTCCCAAGGGAACTTCTTTTTGCCCCACTTCCCCTTCCTCCACTCTTTCTCCAATTTAGGTGCTTTACGCCACTCCTGGTAATTTACCTGATTACAATGGAAGAAGCTGTAGATCTTTTTATAATTGCTGTTTTACTTAAAACATTGATTCTTTACCTTCTGTCTGTTTTCAGGTCATCACACCTCACTGGAGGTTTCCCTGGTTTAATGAACAACTCAGAAAACATAGAGAGGAAAAGATGATGGGGGTCCTTGTACATTCTTTCATTTGAAAGCTGCTTCATAGCATCTGCAAGAGGATTTTTGGCACCTGCCTTGTTAAACTGGTTGTCCAATATTATGTCTCCAGGCAAGTAAGATTCTGGCAATCATTATCATCCTGTTTCACTTGTTCTCAGTCTTTTTGACACAGAGACATTAACTCTCCCAAGCTCCTTTGGCAGGTAAGGAGTTCTCTCTTTTTAAAATATGATAGATATTATTGAATATTTCTTTTAATCTGCTACTGTCATTCCTGAGCTAGGTGATAGTTTCTCTATTCAGATGTTAACCTGCAGCATCTTCCAATCACCTACTCTTTATGGAGCTCATTTGTAAAATGCTGTTGTTTAATTTACGACTGCCTAAGAAGCTCCCTGACATAAGCTCTACAACATCTAATGTCATTCTCTCAACACTCTCATTGTCAAAGGTCACATAAAGCAAACCATTGCTTTATAAAGAAACTCATTCTAGTTTAACACAGGAAAAATGACAGTTCTTGGGCAAAATTTGACCATATAGTTTCATAGGATGCACTGGAAAGAAATGCATTCTGGAAAGGAAGCCAGTAATTAGGTTCTTTGGTTCAGTGCAGGAAATGGCCCAACTGAAATGTACTGACAAAAATGTCATCATTTTCTTCACTTCCAATTTCTCAGGAAAAAAAAAAATAGTAAAAGGTTGTCTGAGGAGACACAAATATATAAAACCAGAAAGACCTCCCAGGCTGACTTGAAATATGTTCAAACTGCACATCCACTCCCTGCTCCCTAGAACCCAGTAAATATTTCTTTGCCCCACAAAGTATTTTAGTATGAACCCAGGAAGCCTCAGATTGACCTTGGAACTAAGATTCTTAATTTTCAAAGTAAATGTCTCTGCCACATTACTGGAGGATTTGCACTTTTCTGATTGAAACATAAAACATGTCTCTTTTGGCAAATGGTTAGATTATACTGTGGGGAACTGGTTGTTTTCCCAATTAACTGACCATAGGCACTTTCACACTCTTTTTCTCAACTTTTATATCCCAGTACAATGCTGGTGGAAAGGTTAAGATATCTACTTTAGGCCATTAGGGGCAGGGTTAAGCCCATGTAAAGCAGTAAAGCTGATCTCAATGACCTACCTTGCTGAGCATCTGGTGTATGCCTCTACAGAGATTTTGTTCTGTCTTCTCTTCAGGTTACATTGGATGTTTAACAGCATTTGATGTTGCAGTATCCTTTTAGCTTACCTTGAATCCCATTTGAGATTTTAGATTGCATATATCTGGATTTGATTAGCTTTGTCAGTTTGTTTTCTTCTGATGTTTTTCTCCCCTGCCAGCTATGTTAACTCTTCTTCACCCAAGACAAGATCTCACTCCCTGATGGAATATAACGATAATATGCTTTTGAAACAGTCTTTGTCATCAACTTCTGAACACATCTGACGCATACTCAGGTGTAAATTTCCTGGTCTGGTTATCAGTTTGCTGTAGAAAAATACAATTTTGACACTGAAAATCACTGCGACCACAGCCTTCCTCTTCTCTGCCAATCTTGTTTAAGAGACCAAAACAATAAAGATGGATGCTTTGATTGACATCTACTATATTAACTGAATTAAATTTGCCTTTAATTCTTACAAAAGAGCAAATAAAATAAGGTGATGTTTTTTTTAAATGAGCAGTTTAGGTTTTGTATCAGCTTGAGTATCTTACTTGAGGCCAACCAGAAGTGTTGAAATGCTGTCAGCTAGTGTTTTATACAGGGTTCTGATCCAGAGCATCTATGCAAACAACAAACTGCCCAAAATGTGGCCCTTGAACCCTCACCGTGTCCTGCTGAATGCTGTGTGCTCAGGGTTTCACTAGAGTGTAGCCACATGGTGCAGATTTAAGAGCTCTATGGGGCTCAGGTAATATTCATATATCTGAAAAGGACTGCTATCCAAACAGAATGAACCTTTGAACTTTGTTAGGGTTTTGACATGATGTTAAGCCTCAGATTTATAAAGCCAAAACAGAACAAACCAAAAGCGGGCTTGCTTTCATTCTGTTTTCTGCACTAAATTGTCAGCAAAGCAGGCCTTTTACTTATAAACAGATGGCATACAATTCTGTGGGATTTTCCCACATTTGATGAACACACAATCATGTCCATTTACATGAGCACGGAAAATATTAAAATGACTACCAGGACTGTGTTGTGTAAGACACCTGGAGCACATTGCTGCCAGCAAGCTTCTGAGGTGGAGATATTCTGGCACACAGTCATGGTTCTGGGGACTGGGCCATTTTTGACTCGGGTTATTGCATCTTTTGACACCTAGAGACATGTTCACCTCTGACCCAGAAACATCTGCAACGTCAAACTATAAAAACAGGAATAGAAATGTAGCCTTTTTTTTTTTTTTGTTGTTGTTCCTTACTGTTATTTTTATTTTCTATTGAAAAGGATTTTAAAAGGCCTATGAAATATAAAATTGCTTTTTTGCCATAGTTGCAAAACTCATTTCACTTTTCATCTGAGATGAGCTTGTAGCAAATTTCCAGAGTTGAAAAACTAATACAATAACCTACTTGGGGGTCCACAGCCCAAAGCACTGAGCATAGCACAGCCTGCCTCTCCCAGTGCTTGAGGAAAGCAGGGGAACCATCACAGTGGCTAGCTTTGTCCTCATCCCACCATTCACCCTGGCTTTTTCTCACTGGTTTGTATTGCCAGCAAACTCCCTGTGTATTCTGACTTTCCTTCCTAAGTTAACACTGACTGATTTTTACTCACCAAGCCCTAACTTTTCCTCCTCCTGTGCAGGCAAGATTTATAAATATCTGGGCCATTACTGCTGCTCCTCTGACATCACCCATCATCAGAATACCAGTTCTACTGGTGCTGCATGGGTGACTAGTTTCTCATATGAGGTATGGGTATACTAACCATTTAAGACCAATTTAAGTCTTTCTTTCACCTTTCTTGTTATGATTTGCTCCTGCAATTTATACTCAGATTCTTCTTTTTTTTTTCTTTTTTAACTTAATTTTGCCTAATAACTTTTAGCTGAAAAAACTCGTGCTGTTGATTCTTTCTGTGTGTCAGTTTGCCCTCCTATAGAATGAATTCATATTATTTGTAGAGGAACATGACAATCTTTGGATGAATGACACTATAGAGATCACCAGAATTATTATTTTGACTTTTAGCTATGGTAAAATGTATTCATGTTTTTTATGTTTCACTTAACATGAGAGGTAGTGTAGGCACAGAGCAACATACTGTTGGGTTTGTCAAAATAAGCACATTTCCCATTGGAAAAACAAACAAACAAACAAACAAACAAACAAACAAAAAAACCAAAAAACAAAAAAAAAAACAACTTTGGAAAAGTTCGTCTTTTTTGAGTACAGGCATTTTATGTTAGAGCCTTAGAGCTGATTCTGTCTCTCCTAAGTTATAAACCCTTATGGATGTGCCATAAAGATGTCCACCTAATGCAGAGAAAAGCAGATTAATTGATCACAGTAATATATTCTTATCCACTGAATAAGAGCATTCCACACATTGTTTCTTGTTTTGTTTCCTGGCTTGTAAATCTTCATTGTAGAATACAAATGAAAATGACCCAAATATGTATTATTTATGAATAGGACTCTCAGATATTATGCTTTAGATTGATTGTGTTAGACAGGATATAACAGAAGCACAATAAGTCAATGAAAAATAAAAAGCAGCAAAAATGTTTCATGCTAAAAATGTAGTTCTAGTGACACCCCTTACATAAAGGACATTTCCAACACATTGACATTTATATTTATCACGGCTGGGTGTGTGATTTACAGTTGTCTGAGGTACTGAATATCAGGAATATCCATGCACATACACACCCCTTTTGAATGATGGTAAGTCATAGACTGCTGCATTGCCCCTTATACAGCCAGCTTTACCTCCCGTTTTTATTTTTCTTCTCTAGCTTCAGGGACGCAAAGGAAGCAGTAGATCAATAGGGTGTCTTGACTGAAGTTGCCTGCAGCACTTCCATTTCTCAGACTGGACACTGATGCTAACTATCAATAGCAATAAGAGGCTGTCTCAGACAGAATTAAGGCTCCTTCTTCTGCATGGCTGTCTGGTGCTTACTGATAAACATCTTGTGCACAGGATTGCAACAAATAAACCATTTCAAGTGTGCAAACTAGCCACTGTCATTCTTCCTATTGATACTTGCTGTGGAGTGAAGGCACTGATAGTTATTTTCATACAGCTGATAACACACCAGATAAGGGTACAGACAGATAACAGTAAAAAGGTATAATGCTATAAAAGTGTGGAAAGATCACCGATGAAATTCTGTGTGCTCCCGTAGAAGCCCTGAGACAACAAAAGACATAACTATTGACTTATGTTTAAACTACTTAAGAGAAGCTACAGCTAAATTTACCTATTTATTAACTTCTGATTTTTAGGTAATGTTAAAGATATCCTGCCAAGCTATTTTATTCAGATGTTATTCCTTTTTAACACTCCTAAATTTTCAAGTTTAGTCAGGCAATAAAAGCTACCAGGGGCTGGATGCAGATGTGATATAGACGGGCAGCATCATGGTCACTTGTTATTTGACCTGAGGTACACACCACACTGGCATTTGCTAATTTTGGAAGAACTGAGCCTCCTTAGCCTCCCTCCCTGCAAAGAACTGATTTCACAACTGATCTATAGCTCTGTTGTACATTCTTTGTTTTCAGCCTGAATAAGGCTGAATAATCGGGTTCTCACCCACCCACAGGAAAATATCCTGGCTTGGATCTTCTTGGTGGTAAGTCCTGTTTTAACTCTGCTTAAGTCAGATAACCAGTAGAGTTATGCCAATTTGCATCAAATGAAGAGCTCACATGTTAATCAGGGTTTATTTTTCTTTCAATTTTGCTTTAAGTGACTAGGGTGGGGGAAGTGTTTCAGATGCTCTGCTGGAAAATCAACAGAGCCCCATTTCATATCCTCCCTCTGTGGAGCTCTAACCATTTACAGGAGCAAACAATTTGGCTCTGAGACATTTCCAGCTTTATATGAAGTGGTGCTTTTCAGATTAGGAGGCTGGTTTTCTGGGGAAAATTTCTGTGATCCATTTCGAGTTTCAGACTATCCCAAACAAAATGATTA